GGTGTAAAGCAAAGCCATTCATGCAGTCAATGACCTGAGTACTTCAAGTCCGGTGCAAAAACGTATAATCGCACGGGCCCGCCCGGTGCGTTCCAGCCTGGGTTGAAATTAAAGACAATGTTTTCTAGTGAATTTTCCGATGACGGATGGTTTCGAACAGGAGATCTTGGATACTTCGATTCCGACCAGTTTATCTATATAACTGGCCGCAGCAAAGAAATGATCAAAGTGAGAGGTTGGCAGGTGTGCTTTTCCTCCATTTGCATTGCTTTACTGTTCAAGAGTCGTCAGCGTTATCATGATGAAGAAGAGGGCACGTGCTTCTGCGCTTTTTCAGAGAACGAATAACAGACTTTTTCCTTTGAGGCGTGAATTTAAGATTTTTTACTTTTTTTGTCATATTTGATATTTCTTGTGAAGTTTTTTGGTAAATTATATAAGTCCTTTTTCATGGACTTATATAATTCACAAAACACCGGATCGCAAAACAATAGCTCCACGAAAAGGGACTTATATGTGGCTTTAGGTTTCGCCATATGAAATCGAAGAAGCAGTCCAATCGTTGCCGGAAGTGGAAATATGCGCCGTGATTGGTGTGCCCGATGAAGCCAGTGGTCAGCTGCCGAAGGCATACATCAAACTCCGTGAAGGAGCTCTGCTTCAGGAATCGGCTATCCAAGAATTAGTGAAAAGTATGCTTTTAATATGTTGTTGCACATACGCAAACGCAAAAGCACATATCGACAAGAGGCTGTGTGCACGTCTGTGTGTTCACACTTTTTTCACCCACTTTCATCTTAAGAACCAAAAAAATTGGAAGGCTGAAACTTCGGGAATATGCGGCTACAAAATGTGCGACTCTCCCATCTTAACATCATTATCCGCGTACGCTTTGGTGCCGTGTACGGACGCCTTAAAAGTATATGCATATTTTTTGGCGGGAAAGCGGTCTTGGGAACTAGAAAGGATGAAGAGCTGGAATTTCGCAGGGATATTTTCTGTGCAAGTATAAACTAAAGGTTTCAAATTCAGCTCCAAGGTATGCATGGTTTTATGTACAGGCGCGTGAAAATTTGTCGAATTGCTAACTCAGCAACCAGAAGAGCTGGAAGGCTAAAATTTTAAGGGTATATTCCCCTTTCATGCACAACTTAAACATTTCAAGTTCAGCCCCTTGTGCTCGTGGTACCCACTCACAGGCATGTTGAATTTTTGGCGCGAAAATTAATAACTCGGGAACCAGAAAAGCTAGAAAGCTGAAATTTTGGGGGAATGTTCCATGTACAACATAAAAGCTCAACCTCCAGAAGTACACGATCCTCACCTACCGGCACTTAAAATTTTTGGCGAGAAAACTGCTCGTTAAACAGCTGGGTCATTTTCAAAGAGCAACCATTAAACGAAAACTGTTCATTTCCTTTACGCAAAATTTACGATGATTTACACCAGTGAACGCAAAAGGTATGTGTAAAGCAACAACCATTCGTGTAAATTAACGACCTGAGTACTTCGAATATAGCACAAAAACGCACGATCACACAGGCAAGCTTGGTGTATTCCAGCCCGGGCTACATTGCTCATTACTGACTGTTATTCATTTATTGTTCATTGATTTAATGGTTCTTTCTGTTCTCACAGTTCATAGCCACGGGATCTAATACGTATTTATTGTTTCATTACGTGTCTCTGAAGCAAACTCATTTCGAACGAAGCAGTGAATGAGTTTAATAACTCGTTTTCCTCAGTTTCAGATGTCGATCTAATTTAATTTAGATTCAGTTTTCCACCGGGGGGACATAATTCAGCATCCGTAAAACTCAAAACAGGGTAGTTAATAAGTTCCCGACTTGGAGTTTGTTGTTTTTCAGGCAAATTCGCGAGCTACAAGCAGCTAAAGGGCGGCATCGAATTCATCAGCAACATGCCGCTTACTGGCTCAGGCAAAGTAGCGCGTACCGAGCTGCTCAGAATGCACAATAAACGAAGGACCAAATTGGTCGACCCTGCCAAAGGTCATTTCAAATGACCTTTCCTATATAAGCGCAACGAACCTGTTCGTATCGCGCAGAGCGAAAAACCTGAAACAATGCCCCGTGTTGCCAAAAAGTGGTGAGGTTACTCCTCTTGGAGAAAGAATTTACGCTAACAACCGTGTTCCCGTACAAAGTGTCATACTCCCTGTTCTGTTCGGTTCACCGACTACAATAACGGACATTTTACAATTTGGGTGTTGAGCTAGAGGTGTTATGGAGCAATTGCTTTCTTCCTTCCTTTGGTCGCTTTTGCCACACAACAAATAAATTAATTGCTTTTCTGGTTCGTTGTCTGCCTCCAAGCATCCGGTGCCAACTTTCGAGTTTTGCTGCCAGCAAATATTGCTAGAGCTCCTCAAGTTGATCGGCTCGCAGCCCAGCACGATGTACGCGTTGACTGTCGGGCCAGCGAACGTCTTCTGTCATAGTTTCAAATAACCAATCGTAGGCTCACTCGTCGAACTGTCCATTCTTCAAACTTGGGTAATATAATCTTTATAATATACACAATGCACACAGACAATACATGTCAAAAAAACACAAGTGTACCAAGAACACAAGAAGTTACTCGTCGTTGTTATCTGGCTCTGTCATTTGTCATTGTTATCCGGCTTTGTCATTCGTCGTTGCTATAGCCGCTTGCCGTCGAGGAAAATCGCTAGAATGATAACCCAGGCTGGAACGCACCAGGCGGGCCGGTGCGACTATGCGTTTTTGCACTTTTTGTGCCGTAGCAAGATCGCAAGGAATCAAAGTAGCTAACCCTGTGAA